GTTGCGCCTTTCGCGTGCTTGCCTTGTGGGTGGCATGGGGAAGGCATTTGGCTTCCGTTATCCTCCACCTTCATTTCAGCGCATTTTCGAGTGACGAAAATAGCACCCTGGACCCTTTCACCTCGCGCCGGATTTGCAAACGTACGTGTACAGCGTGTCTGCATGGCATGTAAGATCCCGGTGCAGTCTTCACTGACCTGGCTTGATTGCCCGTGTCTTCACACTCGAGGGTTGCGGTATGACGTTTTAGAACATCCATGAAATATCAAGCAGCCACAGCATAAGCGCTCAGAAAGCTGAAGTCATCACTTGCAAACAGGTATCTTCCACGATCATTTCGTGGGCGGAATCAGACGTGCCATCGTGCCTTATGTACCAATGCTCTCCCTTTTCCTATACGGGCGAAGACAAAGAATGCGCACACGAAGGGCATAAACTTATAGGCCCGACTCCGCCCATCCAACGAAAGTGGACTGCCACTTCACTCATGTCGATGATTTCCAACTTTTGTGCTGATCTCACGACCCTTGTATCACACTTATTGAGGGAAGAGCCTTGAATAAAATTGATCATAGGTCTTCGAAAACCGCATTTGTCTTTCGATTCTCCTTGATACATACAAGTAATCCTAAAGGAAGTTTTACGACCATGTTTTAGTGACTGTGCAGAACAAGACATTCATGAAATGGCTCACTAATGAAAAGTTCGACATCGCCTTTGCCCACATGTATCACACCTGCCCGATTGCACTAATTCATGCAGCAAAAATTCCCACATGGATATGGTTGCTAAGGTAACATTTTAGTTTTGTAAGTGATTGGTTGAAACGAACGATTAAATGAACAGTTGTCTTAGTTGGTGCAGTTTTTTAGTGGGCAGCTTTGGGATCCTATTGCAAATCTTGTAGGCGTCCCAACATTTCCTAGCTACGTTCCACGTGAGTTCATTACTCAGTTTTCTCTTTCAACCTTCTTAACATTGCTCTTATCCGAAATGAAAAAGTGAGCTCTTGAGAATTTTTGATGCGTTCAATGATGATCATTTCCCTACGGTTGCGCCATGCATTTCAGAGAATTTGCGCGAACAGGTGCAGTTACCATGAGTTGTGCCCACCGTGCTTAGGAATTAGTGTTCCCTACAGCCCGCGATCAGATATTCTGGGTAGTGGTGCTGAACTAGCGATGCCAAGATGCCAACAAAGTCAATAGTGCAGAAAAAAACAGAAAAAATGGTCGCAAATGCCCTCAATAAAACCCCTCTGCGAGCACACTTGTACGAGCAGAGGAAGAGCAAGACGAGAGTGACCGGGCGAGTGCTGTTGTGGTCGATGTGGTTGCGCCATTGATCACAGCTGATTTCCTGTTGCCAATAATGTCTCTGCCGATGTTCTTTAGCAGGTCTTCTATCATTATGGATAGCAGAGCGGCGGGCGGGGTCAATGAAAATGGGTCGGGCCAATGAGAGGAACGACAATGTCTCCGCCTTCCTCCCTCACCTTTGCGCCGCAAAAATGGTGCAATCGCTGTCTCTGCGGGCCTGTCTACCTGCTCACGAAGGGAGAGGAAGATGTCAACTGATCGCGGGCAGTGCCTGCAGTCGAACTGGTAAACACTTCGTTTTCAGCTTTTCATGATGGAGAGCATCGACGAAATGAACTTCTATGAGAGAACAAAGAGTTTCATTCGGCTACAATCTTGCAAACATACTGTATCCAAGGTAGTTCTTTGAAAGCTTTTGTTGAATTTGAGCAGGTGTTTACAGTCCTGTTCGTTGTGAATCATGCGGCGTGTCAGGAGGGGCTGGATGAGGCGCGGCTCAGGCCCGTGCTTCACCATTTGTTGAAGCCGGCAAGTGACAACAGTTGGTGGAAAACGGTATGGCGCCGCGCTCCCCCTTACACGCCCCATCATCCGCAGCGAACGAGACTGTATGAGCCCAACACAATATGGTTTTAGAATGGTAGTCAACAAGGAAACAGCGATAATGAGAGAACACTGGGATCCGAACTTTCCAGACATTATGGATTTGGCAAGCAAATGCCCTTTGGTAAGGAAACGTTTGAAATAATTCCCACTTATCTCTCTGTCCTTTAATGGATGTCCTATGAAGTGTTCAGGAATAATTTTCACATTCAGGTTATGGTCAACAGCAATGAGCTGTACGAGTTCCCTAGACCAACACTCGCTAAGGTGGTGAACATTGGTGGACTTGGAGTTGAGCACAAGGATGCCAAGCCATTGAAAGATGTAAGTGCCATAGCATG